AAAATCACTACAAACATGGAGGCAAATCGCAGCAGCTACATGTTCCCCATTCTGAGATTGACTTGTAAAATGGCAGCCCACAAACCAGTTTCCCCAAGTCATTTTGAGCCATTCGTCCATGGCCACTCCTGTTGTCAGCTGTCTATCAAGCATACGGATATCCATATTTCCACTTTCACTGTCACATTCCCACTGGCTAGTACAGGCAGAAACCTTGCCAACATGTCCTACCCCCATGCACTCCCATTAGGTAGTATAGGCAGGAACCTTGCAATATATCAGCCCATGCACAAGTATCAGTTATGCGCACAAAAGCAACACCCTTTTAAAAATGGTCATCAACCCACTCAAACTTCCTAGAGTCTTCTGAGAAGGGTCATTTTCTGGTGGGAAAATCATGTAACTGACGGTCCCTTATAGTCTGTCCCACCCCACCCATCACAAGTTTCTCCCTCTGCTGCCAGTGTGAATCTGCTGGTCATACATCTGCTCATCCGAATTTTCTTGGAAATTCCAGAGAAAATTAAGATTCTTTTTTCTGTGGATCAGAGCCCTCAGATGCCTCAAAGCCCCACACCTGCAGTGAATTGGTCAAAACATGATAAGTCCAGATCACAGCCAATCAGAAGTAGGGGATAGTTTTTTTAAAAATAATGAAGCAAGTGTCTGGTTTTCTGACACCATCCTAGAATGCAGCTGAACAACATCCAGTGGAAAGGGATATCAGATGAGGGGCTTCTCTCCCTCAGGATAGTAGGTCAGGAAAACTTATTCTGCCTCCTTCCAGCTACTGCAGGCATCTTCTCATTTTGCATTGCAGCAGTGCTGCCCCTGCTCTGCATTCCCCTTATGGTTCTTGATTTCTGCACCATGAGGGAATTTTCCAAATGTGTGAAGGAGCCACAAAAGGCACCTTAAAAGGTAAGCTTCACTATTCACCTAGAATCCAAAACCTGCTGTGCACAGTGGCTTAAACCCCTACATTAATAGAGAAAAATAGCTCCCCCTCCCACACCTACAGACCTGACACATAAGCACAACATGCAATTATGAAAAACCTTGCAAGCCTGTGGTATATGTACTCAGAGCACATGATGATTTCTGTCATTGTATACCTCAGCCACAATACAGTAGTAGGTACAAAACTTATGGTGCATGAAGAGTAAGACCACAGGGAAGTGTGCTTTCCATTCCACACCCCCACCACAGTTCTAAATACAGGATGAAAGAGGCATGATTACAAAGAACAAACGGCGATGTTCATTCACACAGAAAATGTCTCGCTCTGGTAAGAGCCCAGCGGTAACCCTACCTGCCCAAATGGAGTTCTAAAGAATTGGTATGTCTGCTGCCAGAGTTTATTAGCAAGGCTGAGTCTATATACAATCATAATGGAGTGTGGGCATATTTTTTTTGAAAGATGTAACAATTCTCACAGTACATTGTTTACAGTTCCCAGATAATGCAGTGAGTTTTAATTGTGCCTCCATTTTTTTAACTTCTGTATTTGTAAATGATTCTTTTCACTCTCCAAGATGCAGTTATCAGACTAAAATTATGGAGTTACTCCAGTAATAAAAGGGAAGGTAGGGTAGACATGCCTCCTATTTTAAGTTAAGAAGAGTCCTCCCTTTGAAGAGATTATCTATAGTAATTGAAGGGCTGTCCAACCTGAGTCCATTTTAAAGACAAAGAACTATATGAAGTGAAAGCAGGAGATCTTGAAGTTTCCTACCAACAATTATTAGAGGGCCTGTCGAGCTGGGTGAGCTGAGCCATACAGGCCACCTAGTTACTTTCTCCCACCTTAGTGAAAGGCATGGTATTTAAATTATAGTAATTTAAAACATGGACATTTTAAACAAATCTCTGTTCTCTCTCTCTCTGTCTCTCTTTGGATGATGCATCTCCTCTTTACTGGCAACATGTAAATAACCACCCTAACATTGGAAAGTGAAGCAAATCAGCCCAGGAGAACAGGAAGGAAACAGAAGGAATGAGAATCACTAAAGCTGGGATACAAAGAGGAATGTGTGGAAAGGTTTCACATAGGAAAGAAGACTAGACAAGCTTCAACAACCCATTAGCAAACAAAAGTTCAGGCAGATAAAACAGCTGAGAAATAGTTTTATTCCATTAGGGAAGAAAAAGAAGAAGCTGTTTGCCCACCAGCCTTAATTCTGGCATTGTTATTGTGGGGAATCACACTATTTTCAGGAATTAGGTGTGGCTTTGAACTTCATACTATAGACCCTAAGGCAAAGAATACACTGAAGAAAATAATGTGGATTTGATTCTTCTTGTGGTAATTTTTGACATGATTTTTCCCCAACATACACACAACCAGCTAATGCTCTGGTTGCTGGGTGATGTCCCTAAATTCTCTCAGGTCTAAGGAGATCTGAAGAAAAGAAAGCAATGGCTGACCATTTTGGCTGGGCCATTCACCTGATAGTCATTTGAGACAATCTAAACTGATAAATGTGGTCTGATGATGGCAATGATACCTGGAACACAAGGATATGTGAGGAAAAAGTGTGAAGGCTTTTTATCATGGCAGCATGTCTTGCATTATTGATTCTTGTGTGTACCCTTGAGATTTGTACTACAAATAAGACCCAAGCAGAATTCATGTTGATTTTGTTGAGTGCAGGCAGGAAGTCTTCTGTAACAATCATACAGAAGAAGGGATTTTGGGTGTTTGATATGTCCCACATTAATGAGGAAAACTGTAATTTCTCTTCTCTGTAGTACTATTAAAAGTCCAGGAGCCATGTTTTCTTTGCTTCTATTTCTCTGGGTCATGTCTGAGTGTCTCAGTACTCCATGTTGTGGCTTGCACTTGGTGTCAATAGAAACGTACCAGTTTGTTCTAACCATTCCACCCTCCTTGCCTTCCAAAGTACCTGAACATCTTCATTTCTTCCCAAGAATAGTTTGTAAGAAGCACTTGTATCATGACCAAGAAGAAACAAAGCCAAATAACCTGAGAATAAGGTAATTAATTCCTAGGAGACAGATTCCAAATGTTAGTTTAGAATTTAGCTTATATTTAGTCCTTTAGTTGAAGATGATGTGACAGGGGTTTATATAATTATGAATGATCCATGAAAACCTTTATCTAACTTTCATGCCCAAAAGAATCTGTTTGCCCAAAAGAATTCTAGTCTGCATGGGGATTAGTCTTATGTATTTGTTCTAAAAATGCCTTCTCTTCAACAGATCCAACAATCCATCCAACAATCCAGATACTTTTCCAAAGAAACTTAAAATAATCTACATTAAAAACTAATTAAGATTTATGTAGTGCTTTTTGTTTGCATGTTTACAGAATCCAGGATTCTTTTTAGTCAAGAAAGGTCTATTGCAATGTGATGGAGAATGAAAACAAATGAGTAGCAACAAGTCTCAGAAACTCTATCCCCAAGCAAATAATTTCTTTTACAGGAATTATTCCATGTACTAGGAAATTTACCTCCACAGTTACAAGAACTTGAAATACTTTATTTAATTTTTTTAAAGAGACAGAAAACCACATACAATAAATGTAAAGGCCAATAACTTATTGGCTGACACAACTACGCTGGTAATGGTAGCAAGAGTAAAATGACTGTGGATGCAATGGCAGAGGTGGGCAGGGGAGCGACAGGGAAAGCCATGGCTGTTGGGAGAGAAAGTGACCTTGCTAGCTCCTGAGATTCTCAGGAGTTGGCAGAGCAGTTTTCTCTCCACATAAGAATATTCTTCTCATTTCCCTCGCTGTATTGCATGCTATGGTTGGCATCACCCAGTGTGGTAACTCATGGTGTCACTACACATGGACCTCCTCCCATACCAAATCACACAGAATCCTTAGTAATGTTTTTTTGTACTGTTACTCATCAGTCATAATTCCCATATACCACTGAATGTAATGGAAATAGTTGTGACATAAACAACTAGTAAAATATTATACCTTGAAATTACATCATATGCACAGTCTAAAAGTATTTACATGTACATTGTTAGATGTGGCTAAAGTGAAAATTTGGTAAGACATAATATTTTTAAAGAAAATTTTAAAATACTTTTTATTTTATTTTTTAAAATGAAAATTACTTTTTTATATATGTTTTTTAACGCAGGGCCTGTCCTTTCTCTTGCTGCTGAGCCTCACTCTACCCCCCCCATCTCTTAAGCATTTTAAAGGGATGCAGATGAATGTCATAGCGCATTTCTGTCAAAAGGCAGATGCTTAGGGAGCATCAATGTCACCTGGTGCGTCCACATCTCCTGCACCCCCAGTGATCCCACTGCTGCAGGCACCCTCCAAATGATGTACAACACCAGCACAGAACATCAGCATGATCCCAACCTGAAACACCCAGAATTCTTGATCTTCAACAGATTTCAAAGATTCCTCCCACAGGCATAGAATCATTCATCCCAAAATTGCTAATAGCAGATTAGCTGATAACAGAAATAGAGGTTTATGCAGAACTCTGCTTTGCAGGTTTAATGCTAAGACTGTCCCTAAAGTTATGAGTTCTGACCATCTGAATTCAAAAGTAATTACTTTCAAACAACTGTCTTTTAAAAAATGAATTTTGGCAGCTTGCTAATCTTTTGAAATGAGCTACCTGCTTTTGTCCATCAGAAAAAGGAATATAAAAGATGTTTAAATCTTCTCAATACAATTATAATTTCATCTGAAACAAGTGAGGAGGATAACAGTGGAGGCTGGTGATATCTGAACTTGGTAAGTGAAACTGTCAGATCAGGAATTGTTCATCAGAGAGCACTGCACCTGAGGAAGAAAAAGCCCAGTGAAGTGTTTGAGGACAAAGAAGCCTTGACAATGGACATTTTCCAGCTTGATTATTGTTCTATGCCTTCAAGTTGTTTCTAACTTATGGAGACCCTAAAATGAATGTTAGCAAGATTTGTTAGGAAGAGGTTTGTCATTACTTTCCTCTGAGACTGAGAGATTGTGATTTGCCAGTGGCTGCAAAGCAGCTTTCCACAGCTGAGCAGGGATTTGAACTCTGATCCCCTGGAGTCCCAGTCCAACACTCAAACCTCTATACTACAACTGACGCCTCCATATATTTTAAAAATACAGAGGTTTTCTCTGAAGATGCTAGCCACAGATGCTGGCGAAACGTCAGAAAGAAACTCTTCTAGAACATGGCCACACAGCCCGAAAAACCCACAAAAACTATGGATGCTGGCCATGAAAGCCTACGACTTCACATTAGCAAAATGTTTAATGGATACATCAAACATAAATGTAAATGTATTTATTACAAAACTATATTCATCACTGGAGATCCAGTGTGGTGTAATTGTATTCACCAAGGAACTGGGCCTGGCTGCAGATCTCCAACAAACATTATAGATTTGTGTTGGTTTTATGCTAGTTTAAGTCATAGCTTTGAAGCCACAGTCATAAAATCATAGAATCATAGAGTTGGAAGAGACCACAAGGGCCATACAGTTCAACCCCCCTGCCATCCAGGAACTCAAAATCAAAGCATCCTCGACAGATGGCCATCCAGCCTATGTTTAAAAACCTCCAAAGGAGGAGACTCCACCACACTCTGAGGGAGTGTGTTCCACTCTTGAACAGCTCTCACTGTCAGGATGTTCCTCTTAATGTTGAGGTGGAATCTCTTTTCCTGTAGCTTGCATCCATTGTTCTGAGTCCTATTCTATGGAGCAGCAGAAAACAGGCTAGCTCCCTCCTCAATATGACATCCTTTCAAATATTTAACAGGGCTATCATATCACCTTTTAACCATCTCTTCTTCAGGGTAAACATACCCAGTTCCCTAAGTCGTTCCTCATAGGGCATGGT